TTCCAAGTCGTGTTCGACAGCACCAAGATGCAGATTGCGCACAAGGGCTCCAAGCAAGTGGTGGCGACGGCAAACCTCGTGGATGGACTCTACTGGCTCCAGACGCCTCAGCGATCGGCGAATGCGGCGACCAGTGGGAAGACGGTCGACTTACACGCGCGTATGGGTCACGCTCCGGTGGAGGTGCTTCGCAAGATGGTCGACAACAACATGATCAAGGACGCGAAGGCACCTTCCAAGTCGAGTGGACCAAGCGTGTGTCGCGGCTGCCAGCAAGGGAAAATGGTCCAGAAGCCGTTCCCAAGCAACCGTGACAAGCGTCACTACGACACGTTCGAGCTGCTCCACTTCGACGTGTGCGGACCCATGGAAGAAGAGTCACTGGGTGGCAGCAAGTATCTGCTGCTGATCGTGGACGAAGCCAGCGGATGCATGAAGGGGTTCTGCCTGCGTGCCAAGTCGGAGAGCGAGGACTGCATCAAGATGTACGTCACGACGGTGCAGACGCAGTTCGGCAAGAAGGTCAAGTTTGTGCGGCACGACGGAGCCCGTGAGTTCGCGACCAACTCGCTCAAGGCCTTCTACGAAGTCGAAGGCATCGAGCAGCAAACCACGGTTCCGTACGCGCACCAGACCAACGGCACGGCAGAACGCGCCATCCGGACCATCGTCACGATTGGCCGCAGCATGCTGCATCACGCCAAGCTGGACAAGAGCTTCTGGGCTGAGGCGGCCATGACAGCCATCTACGTGAAGAATCGTCTGCCATCACCCAAGATCGAACACAAGACTCCGTTCGAGATCGTTTACAAGTCCAAGCCGAGTGTGAAGCACATGCGTGTGTTCGGATGCCAGACGTACATCCTGACGCCGAAGGAAAGACGGCGCAAGTGGGACCCCAAGGCTCGCGCCGGGCTGTTCCTCGGCTACGAAGAAGTGTCCAAGGCGTATCGAGTTTATGACATCGAGGCGGGGCAGGTGGTTATCAGTCGCGATGTCAACTTCGATGAGTCGACCTTTGGACTTTCGACGCATACTTCGGATGAAGACGTCGATGATGCTGTGCTGGACTTGGACGCGCTGGACCTGGACGACAACGATGGACCGCGCCAAACGAGCTTCAAGCAGGCGGGGAAGCGCAAGTACCGACCGAGTGGCGACGACAACACTGCCAGAAGATCGCGCCCCGTTCGCCACCGAGCTGGCTTAGAAGAAGCAAGTGCGCCGGACGTATCCTCCTCGCGCCGAGCCGACCCCGACGAAGAAGAAAAGTCTGGGGACCAAGATGAAGACGACGACTCGACGCCCCCAGTGTTTTGGCGTGCCAGTGCCAACGCTGTGGAAGCAGCAGCCGATCTATCGGAGCCGACGACGTTCCAAGAGGCTGTGAACGGTCCTGATCAAGTGCACTGGCGCAAAGCGATCCGCGCGGAGCTCAAGTCGATGCGACTGCGTGGTGTGTTTCGAGCTGCCAAGTTGCCTAACGGACAACGCGTCACCGATACCAAGTGGGTGTTCAAGATCAAGCGCAAAGCGGACGGCTCGATCGAGAAGTACAAGGCGCGCCTCGTGGCCAAGGGCTTCAAGCAGAAGTACGGCATTGACTACACCGAGACGTTCTCGCCCGTGGTCAAGTATGTGACACTGCGCATGGTGATCGCGATTGCTAAGTATTTTGGCTGGCCCCTCGACCAACTCGACGTGGTGACAGCATTCCTGTACGGGATAATGAAGGAGGTGGTCTTCTGCGTGGTTCCGGAAGGCGTCGAACTGGATGGTGACTTCGACTGCCTGGAACTGGTGAAGGCCATCTACGGTCTCAAGCAAGCTTCGCGAGTGTGGAACGAGACCTTCGACGAGTTCGTGTGCTCCATCGGCTTCCAAGTGTCGGCCTTCGATCCGTGCCTCTACATCAAGGTGGTGGACGGTCACTGCGTGCTTGTACTGGTGTACGTGGATGACGTACTGATTACCGGGAGTTCGCCCGAGCTGATCGCACGCACGAAGACCGACCTGAAGACGCGCTTCGAGATGACCGACAGCGGCAAGTGCGCGTTTGTTCTTGGGATCGAGTTGGTGGACGGTCCGGACGGCAGCGTGACCATGTGCCAGCGGCGATACGTGGACGACATCCTGAAGCGCTTCGCCATGGACGAGTGCAAGGCCGTGGTGAGTCCGGTGGACATGAGCACTCGACTGGTTCCAAGAGACGCGGCGACCAAGGTGAACGCTCCGTTTCGCGAAGCTGTTGGTGCTCTGATGCACCTGATGACCGCCACGCGCCCAGACATCGCGTACGCCGTTGGCTATGTATCGCGCTTCATGGAGAACCCCCAAGAGGAACACTGGGTTGCGGTCAAGCGTATCTTTCGCTACCTGCAAGGCACCAAGACGCATGGGATCTGCTTCAAGCCGGGCGACAAGATCGACTTTCGTGGCTACTCGGACGCGGACTGGGCCGGCGACCTCGCCGACCGCAAGTCCACTTCAGGCTACACGTTCATGCTCATGAGTGCGCCTGTGAGCTGGGGAAGCAAGAAGCAATGAAGCGGAGTACATCGCGCTCAGTCTGGCTATCCAAGAAGGCAAGTGGATTCATCGCCTGCTATGCGAGATTCTGGCGGCCGCTAATGAGACTGGACCCGAACTCATGATCCGCGAAGACAACCAGTCGTGCATCAAGATGACGAAGAACCCAGTGAACCACGGTCGCGCCAAGCACATCGACATCAAGTACCACCACATCCGCGATGAAGTCAAGCGCGGCGAAGTCAAGCTCCAGTACTACGAGACTTCTGTGATGCTAGCGGACATCATGACGAAGGCGCTTACGGGACCACGCCACACGGATCTGACGGTGGCTCTCGGCATTCGTGGGACTTCGCATTGAGGGGGCGTATTGAGGGTTGCTGGTCTTGGGTACTGTGTACCAGTTGTACCCTTTAACCGGTTAACCCGAACCGGTCCAATCCGAACCCACGTTGATTATGGTGATTACGGTAAGTTGTTTACGCCACCGATGATTAGACGAGTAGGATGATTGGATGAACACCGGTGAGTGATGGTTGATTAGATGCACTAGGTGATAGGACGCAGGGTCGCGTGTCTATAACAGTAGGGTGTAAGCTCCAACAATTCAATCACTTTCGAATCTTCATTCTACCCCTCAAGTGCCTTCGCTCTGGTCCCGCCGTCTGCGACGTCCCTCCCTCCGCTTCGTCAGAGCTTCGTGTCCAAGATCCATACCTTCCATCAGCGACAATAGATTCGCAAGCTGATCGCAAGTTTGGACCGCTGAACCCAAGGTATACTCAAGATAAGACATTTGACCCCAATCATAGTGAACAGAAGATATTTGCCCGAAGAAGAGAGAGAGAGAGAGAGAGAGAGAGAGAGAGAGAGAGAGAGAAGTAGCTGATAAAAACCAAACAGAAGTAGCTGATAAAAACCAAACAGAGTTCCTTTTACCCTGTACGCGCAAGTGACTTCGGCCAAGCCTGCCGACGGAAATCCGGAGGACCCGAGACTACGACCGCGGGACGCTAAGGGCACTGTGGTGTGGTAATTCCACTAAAATCCTCCTCTACCAAAAGGTATTAGAGACACCAACAACACGCTAACCCGCAAAGGTAAGCGCTTATTGGATCAAAACCTGAAGACCAGGAACGATCCCTTACACCGGGTCGGTTGCAAGCGCCTCTGTGCACCTTAGGTTGTCTTCGGTCAACCCAAAAACCTGTACCACTAGCCACGAGCTAAGGCTAGGATACTATGTAGCGCTTTCGCGCAACCCACTGCAGTCCCTCAGAAAGGAAGGGTACCGGCGTGTTTGGCCTTATACAGGGGGACCAAGGTATAACCTCGGTAGGTAGACTAATACACTCAGGGACACTCTAATCCCACAAATATATACCGAACGATACTCTAATACCGTTCCTGCCTCTCCGGCCACGCCAACTCTTGGCGCTGCCAAGGAAACTCCCGGTCAATGCACGATAAGCTCCCCGACAGGCATCCACACGCAGCCGAGCGTGTCCAGGCACTACAATAAGCTAGCTACACTTACCGAAGTCGGACTTGACCCTTGTTGGCTTTGGGGGAAGACTGTCTTTTTATTACTGAGTTTTCTGAGGCCCTGGGGCCTCGTTCTGGTCATCCTATGATGAGTCCTATGTCCCTATACAAATATCTAGTGTGAACGATCGCAATAAGGCGATTCCGGACACATCAAATGACGACCGCGGCTACACTAATAAGTGCGGCCGAAGTACGTAACTAAATGCATCTGTACCTAAAAGTGGGTACCATGAAGCCTCGTTCGGGGTTCTATTAGGACCCGACGAGGCTTCGGCCACTGCCTGTCACTCTACCGAGGATAATGTCATCATCCATTCAGAAGCAGCCATCTCCGTCTCTCGCTTGACCTCGCCTTGATCGCCCCTTGATTGAACATGATTGTCGGGCTGGCGGGTCAACAGCGTCGGAAACTGCCACTTTCCAATACCACAACTGCCCTCGCCTCGACGCGAGCCTCCCACGCTGGTGAGCGTCTAGGCGTCCTCAGTTCTTCGATTCCATGGCTCCTCCGTCGCGTGCATTCGCCGACGCGGCTGCCGCTGGTCTTCGGGCTCTCCAGTACTCCGGACCGGTACATTCGTCGCTCCCGCTGCTCCTCACTGTGATTCGGATCCTCGTTGTTGACTCCATCTCTTTCTTGATCATCTCAGGGAGCTGTTGATGTCGCCACCGACACTTCGGGTCGTCGTCCGGCGCGCCAGGCTCGTTCGGCGGGTGCCCCCGCCCCTATCGCCGCTAGTGCTGTGCCCCCAGCCCGGGCCGCGCCTGCAGGTGACCCTACGCTCATTCCTGCCGCCTCCGGGACCTCGGTCGACCCTCCACCGGCTCCTCCAAGTAGTCCTGAGTCTGCTGCTGGGGCGACCGAGACTCCCTCGCCGGCAGTTCCCAGTGAAGAGGCTCCCGACTCGCCGCCGACACCGCCGCCAAGCGCCAGCGCTCCACCGTCGCCAACTCCCGCGCCTTCGGTCACGTTGGCAACTCGCGGGGCGTCGGTGGGGGGCGAGGCAGCTGTAGGGGGTCGCGCCGGAGCTGGTGCTGGCCCGGCCGAGGTTCCTCCGACAGCGGTCGTTTTGGGCGAGCAGCAGATGCTGGAACTCGCTCGTCTCGTCGTGGGTGTTGCCCGTTCACCTCCAGCTCGAGTCAACGCTGCTCTCGACCACAGTCTGCAAGCTGCTACTAACGTCGGTGAGGTGCTGGCTGCCGCCGTTGCTCCTCTGCGTCTCCCTCTTGCGGAGGCTGATGAACTGGTGGCTCTCCGCCGCGAGAACGACCGGCTGCAGGCAGAGCTCTCCGACGCCAAAGATAAACTCGCTGAAGAGATGAACCTGCGGACCAAGTCGGACTACTTCCTCGTCTCGGCCAACTCCGAGTGCGACCAAGCTCTGGACCTCGTCCAGGACATGCGCGTCCAGCTCAGCAACGCCAGCGCTCAGTTGATGCAAGCGAACGCGGCCATCGCTCACCACGCTGACGTCACTCAGTCGTTGGAGAAGCGGACGCTCGTTGCTGAGGCCGATTCGGCCGCTGCTGTACGTCGGAACACCCAGCTCCACGAGCGTATAAGTGCAAGCCTCGTTACCTACAATACTCAGTTGGAGAGGCTTCGGAAGCAGTTGGCCCACTGCGACCGAGCAAACGTCATCCCCACACGCATTCAAGCGTTGACGGACGAGAACAACAGCTTGCGGCGAGCGAATTCTATCCTTCGTCGGCACTCGGCAGCACACGGACTCGACGTCGACACCTTGGTCCTGGCCTCAGCCTGCATCTCCGCCGCAGAGATTGATTGGAATCTTCTCGGGCTGTTCCCACCGACGGTCACTGTCGAGAGTCCACGCCATGACGAATCCTCGTCAGAGGAGGGAGAGGAGTCCAAGACGACCGACGTGCCGATGGCTGAGTCCACCGAGGCTACGTCCGCTCCCGCTGCTTCGGTGGGCGCTTCTGCTGGTTCCCCGGTCTCCACTGAGTCGTCATCGCGCAAGCGGGGTCGGCAAACCGAGTCTGCTTCCGTCGGGAATACGGCATCCCAGCCTCCTCCTCACAAACGCTTCGGCAGACCGTCAGTCGCCCTGAGGGCCAGGGCTGCAGCGGCCACCGCGCCATCTAGTCCTCGTTCGGCATCAGGAGAGATTTCCCCGCCTCCTCGGTCGATGGTGCGTCCAACGACGGCTCGCTCAAGCTGGTTGGAGTCTCAGCCTCTCCCGTACGAACACTTAGACGTCCCCTTGTATCCTCGGCTGGCCCGTCGCGCCTCGCCTCCCTCGCCAGCCCCAGCCCAGCAGCAGGAATCGTCTGACATGGAGTTTGGAGGGGGTATGAGTCCTAGCGACACTTCACAAGATGACCTTGAGCCCGGCGAGATTCCGGGGGTGTCGGCCAGCGCTCAGGGTGTTCAAGGTTCTGCTACCGAGCCTTCCGGTACTGTCATCGAGGTTCCATCCGAGGTTTCGCCTTCGGCGGCGACTTCCATTCCTTCGCCAGTCTCGTCTGGTACAGCCGGCGTCGGCCGTGCCCCTCGAGAATCGGCTGCTGGGGTCACCGAGGGCTCTGGCGGCCCGCCAGACCGTTCACCTAGCGGTGAGTCGCCTCATGAGTCCGAGACTTCCGAGGACCGCGCAGCGTTGTTCCTGGAGATGTTCGGCCCCGACGAAAGAGAGGAAACCTCGGTGGCGCAACCTGTCGCTCCTTCGGAGGCTCCTTCTCCTCTGGCTGCCGCGACCGGGGTTCCTGTAGCTTCACAAGCGGCCACCGTGCCACTCCCGAGTCGACTTCACACTCGGTCGGCCTCTGTTCACGCTCGGGCGATGGTAACAGCAACGGTGACAGCTTCACCGAGGGCTGGACCTGCGTCGATTGCCCCAGCAGTGGTTGACGCTTCCGACGTAGCTCCTGGATCGCGTAAGCTCAGTGGTCTTGCTACCCTGTTCTTGGAGCCGGGTTTCACGGTACCCGGGGCGTCGGAATGCTGGCATCTCATCCAAAACGCCAGTGTCCCCCTCGTCTTCGAGGACGACTTGGTCGCCCCCCGTTCAGTGGATGGAATCGTGGAGTTTGGCTTGTGGACGGATCCTGCTCACCCCTTCCAAGTGTTGCGCCAGCTTTTCCCAGACGAGCCTTGTTTGATCGATACGACGGGTTTTCCATCCTCGGTGGCTATATCCCGTCGTGCAACTGGTCGAGCTCTACTCGTTCGCATATGGCGGCAGTTCCAGGGGTACTCCTACCACTCCACCGAGAGGGGTGACCTTGGTTTCGCCTTGTGGGAGCGTCGCCACTGGATTAGGGGTAAAGCTGTCAAGGCGTATATCGACAACCTCGCCAGCACCCTCGGTCAGCGCAACGTGCAAGTCCTAGCGCTTCGACAAGCGTGGTCCAAGTACCACCGAGAGCGCAGTGATCGTGCAGATCGCTTGCGAGACGGCTCCACAAGGTGTGGAATGGGGCCATTACGTACGACGGACAACCTCCACAGCACCGCACCGAGGTTTTGCTGGACCCGTCGTACCTGCAATACTCGTTCGAGGTGATGGAGTGGGTCCCCACTACCGACGACTGGGCCTCCGAGGTGGCGGACGTGGATGCCCACGAGCCGTGGCGTAACTGTTGGTTCCAAGCGCCGGCAGACCACCCCTACAACACGGCTTTCGCCCCTTGCAATGACGTCCCGTTGTTTGTCCCCAACGGATCGACTCGGGAAACCGTGGCGTCGTCGATCGTGGTCGAATCTTCTCTGCGGACTTCGATGGTGGTCGCTCCATCGGTGGCCGAGTTCGCAAACGCTCGTCGTTCTCGCTCTCCAAGCCCCGATGAGGAGACGAAGGAGTCGGGTGAAGCTTCTTCCGCCACCGGGTCAAGTCTGGGCGTGTTGGCTCAGGCTGTGATGGAGATTTAGCCTCGTTAGGCCCCGCTCCTGCTTCACCGTTTCGTTCACGTTCTTTTCCAATGTCGACCGAGGTCCGTGGCGCTTTAGGCGACGCTGCATGTGCAATCCCAATCCAAAATAACGTCATGTTGTTCGTTCCATTTCATAATCTTTTCTCGCGTCAACGCACATCGGATTCAATACTCGGTTGCGGTTCCCAGAGCTTCTTCTCTGCCCTCGACCGCTGTGGCTGCCTCAAACGAGGCTTGGTTCGTAGCTGCGGCAGCCGGGCTTCGTCTTTTCTCCCTGCAAGAAGATCGGGCTTATGCTCGTTGAAGACCGGACTTGATTCGCGGGAGACCGGGCGTACTCACGCTAGCTCCGTTGCGGGTATGTTTTCGCATGACAGCCCAATTTTGACAACTGTACAACCGGTCTGCTGCGGGTATCCGGTGTCGACAGCTTACATACCCATTTCACCATCAACTCCATACTCAACCACGAAGTCGAGCGCACTTGTTCGTGCTACTTCCATGGCAATCACTGCGTCCGAAGCCTCGGTCGCCCTCCCATTTGCTTCATCATCACTTGTTTCGTCTGTTGAGGGTTTGACCGAGGCTTGCTTGCGTCTTCCGTTGTCCCTGGCTCCATTCCGATATCTCCATTCCATCGTGACTCGTTCACTTAACACGTGACATGCAGATTCCAGTAACTTTCTTCGTCTGTCACTGCGAGCTGGATAGCCCTCACAGGCAGTTCAATCATCATCTCCAGTAGCCTCGTTCGTCTGACATCGCGGGCTGGATTGCCCCCGCGAGCAGTTCAATCCTCGTTGGGGCGCAGAATTACTCCTCGTCGGCCACTTGGACCATTTGCAAACGTCGGTCGCTTCGCTTCCGGCGTAGGTAATCGTACAGGAGGCCACCGCACGAGAGATTGGACTCTGGTTCCCATGTCGGCTCGTCATAGCCGACCCACTTCACCTTGAACTCTCGGACGGCCCGGTGAATGCTCGTTGACAACGGTGTCCAGTCATCGAGGATAGCCTCGACTTCATACTCGCCGTCCAGGCGGTCCGGCTCAAAACTGTCTTCAGGCAGTAATTCCTCGTCGAAGTCAAGACGAGTGTCTTCGGTGACCTCACGAGCCAAACGAACCCTCGGTCGGCCTTCGAACTCGTCCACTGACTTGAGTCGTGAAACATGCACCACCGGGTAGAACCGGTATCCACTTCGGTCGGGTATTTCCAACTCATACGCAAATTCGTCGACCTTCTTCTTCACGCGGAACGGTCCGTGCCACCGATGGGCTAGTTTCTTGGTCAGTCCTGGTCGAACCCGCTCCATGTACAGCCACACTCTGCTCCCGGGACCTCGATCTCGTCACAGCAGTTCTACTATGGTCATGGGAACTCGGTGCCCGGTCGACCGAGGTTCTATTCTCGTTGACGCCTGCCATAGCTTCCATCTCCTTCCTGCCAAGCGACGCATTGTGCTCTTCAGCTCTTCGAGCCTTTTCCGCGGTTTGGTACTCCTTGGCCATCCTCAGGGCGATTTCCTGCTGTCGGTTGACCTCTCGGCGCCATGCTAGCACGTCAGTTTGGCTACCGAAGCCTCGTTTGAGTGACGAGGACATTGCCTTGAGCGTCGACTGTGCATCCCACCCATGAACGAGGTAAAACGGAGTTTCCTTCCTCGTCGTATCACGGGAGCTATTGATGGCGAAGATCAGTCTTTCGGTGATCACGTCCAAATCCTGCTGTAGTGGGTCTTCAGCGTATACGCGGACTGACTGCATGATCGTCTTCACCGATCTCTCCTGCTGGCCGTTGGCCTGCGGGCGGTAGCTCAGGGTCGCTCTCGACCGAGACTGCATCATTTCCGCGAAGGCTTGGAAGACCTCGCTCATAAATCGAGGATCTCGGTCATGACGGATCAAGGACGGTGCTCCAAAACGTCGGTAGACACACTCCTCGAAGCTTGCGCAACGAGTAAGGCGGTAGTGTCAGACATGGCTTCGCCCATCACGAATCCCGTGAACGAGCATTGGAATAGCAGGAGAGCCGTGTTGCCACGGCGACTCTTCGGTAGCGGTATCACGAAGTCCATAGAGACTAGTTGGAAGGGTCTCTCGGCTAGGATGTTCCCTGGCGAGTACCCGCGGAACTGAGGTCGGCTCTTACTTGAACTGCAGTCAGGGCACGACATAACGTGTTTCTCCACATCGGCATACTGGCCGATCCAGTAATAGTCTCTCGCCGCTCGATGTAGCGTACGGGTAATACCTTGATGACCGCCTTCAAGTGAGTCATGACAGCTTTGCAGGACCTCTTGGATCATCGTTGTGGGCACCACGAGTCTCATCTTCAACTCGGCTTGCTCGCCGTCACTTGAACGACGGCTCGTTCTTGTGTAATATAGCACATTGTCCTCGCTCAACACAAATTGGTCCGCCATTTTCCATGCATCTCGTGCTGCTCTGTATCCAATCTTCGCATCATCTCCCCGGAGCACTGCCTTCAGATTCGACCACCGTAACTCTTCATCTTGAGCGGAGGCGATTCTCCTTCGGCGTTCTTCCTGTACTACCAGCGGGTCAATGTCTTCTGCGTTCGGTGGGGCTGGTGACGTCTCGGCACGCAGCGGTGAAGCTTCTGCTTCATTCTGAGACTCGTTCGGCACACCATTGGCTTCTACTCGGTGAGATGCGTCTCCCTGATCGGTGACCGAGACTTCATCTGCAAACCGGACGTTTTTCTGCTTTGCTCTCGTTTGACGTCTGGTCATCACAGCTACGTGTCCGGGTTCAGTCTCGTTCTGCCGTCTGCGGTCGGTTTCTCTTCGCACAAAATCGAAAAAATTCTTGCTACGAGGTTTAGCAGAAGCTACCACGGCCCATACTGTGTTGGCCGAGGGTATGTCCTCGACGACGCACCCGTCAGCAGCCTCGTAGATGACTTCAGCGATACGGTTCAGCTTCATCAGCTCTAATACTCGGTCGTCCGACGATACCACCGTAGACTCCTTGCACTCGAGAGTCTCGCTTGCCAGAGAGTCGGCCGCAGTGTTAAACTCTCTCACCACATGCAGGTACTTCACCGACCGAAGCTTGGCCGTGAGTTCTTGGTGGTGACTGAGTTGTTGCAGCAATGACTCCTTTCACCCCTAGAGCTTGCTGGATCGCGAGCCTCGAGTCGCCAACGACGACTAGATCGTCGGCTCCATGCTGTTATGCAGCAGAGACGCCGTTGTTCATCCCGGTGTACTCAGCGAGGTTGACCGTGGTGTTATCGAGGTAAGCGCTCGCAGCAAGCACTACTGTCCACTCTGGTAGCTTCCATAGTATCCACGAGCAACTGCCGTATCCACCGTTCTTCTCGGTCTTCGCAGACCCGTCAAACGACATAACGAAGCCTCGGTAGGACCGCGGTAGGCGTGCGTAGAGCAGATGCGGGTCCAAACGAGCAGTTGGTGACCCTCGTGTCCGGGGTGTGACCAACGCCAGTGACTTATCCAAGTCAACGAAGTTCGTCAAGCCGGCTTGAAGTAGCTGAGCAAACGAACAGTCGGTTTCTTTGACTCGTTCGACCAACAGGTGCCACGGCGACAGCAAGACGGCGAACTGGGTAGCCCGACCGAACAATGTCTTGGACTTGTGGACCCAGTCGAGTGTCGAAAACCGAGTGTAGACCCGGATTCGCTGTCCAACGAGTTGAGTATAACACACCTTCAGTATCAGCAGAAGCGCGAGGACCTCTTTCTCGGCCGGATGATAATTCATCTCAGCATCCTTCAAAACACGTCCGCAGAAGCGAACGGGGTGTAGTTTGCCCTCGTGCTCTTGTATCAACGTGGAACTTAGAGCCCACTCGTTGGCGAACAACATGACATGCACCTCCTTCTTCCGGTCGAAGTGTCGTAGTATCGGTGCTGCCGAAACCTTCTGTTGGAGCATCGCGAAGCTGTGCTTGGCCGCGGTGAGGTCACCCCCGGGCTGGAAGTCCTCGTCCTTAAGCTGGTACAGCGCTGCTCCATAGACCGCGAAGTCTCGGATGAAGCGACTGTAATAGTTGAGTGCCCCAAGGAAGGACTGCATTCCTTTCCTCGTTGACAGGAACGGAAGCTCGGTCACCCCAGCCAGATTCTTAGTGTCCTGTCGGATACCTTCTGCCGAGACTTCGTGGGACAGGAAGTCTACCTTGGACTGCACAAAGATGCTCTACGTGAAGCTGATATTAATACGGCACTCTTCAAACCGTGCCAGCAATCGGTCTAGCGTCGCCAAGCACGACTCGAAAGTCTCGGCACCGAAACAGATATCATCCACGAATGACCGGCGACTGAATACTGGTGTCAACGAGGAGTCATCGGGCTCCCCGTTGGCGAACATGTCGGCGATAGGGCTGTTGACCAGTTCGGCTACAGCTCCCTTACCAAGCGAGTTGTCTCGGTCGGCCTCGAACTTGGTCCGGAATGGCTTTGCCGTGCCAGTCGAAGCCTCGTTCACCCCAGCATGAGCTTCTTTGTCATGTTCTTCAGCTAGACGCATGCGCTCCGAGAATTTAAACCATCCTCCCGTCGGTTGGACGAAGCCTCAAAGCGCGTTGTCAATCATGCGTTGATAGATCATCGGTGCGTTCTTCAGGCGGAAAGGCATACGCAACCATTCGAAGTGCCCCAGTGCGCAGACGAAAGCAGAGATCTTCCGAGCTCATTCGGTCATCATAATGGCCCAGAAGCCGCTAGCGGCGTCAAGCGAGCAAAACTACAAGTACGCCTCCATGTCCGTCAGCAAGTCAACCACCAGGGGCATGGCGTACTCCATAATCTCGGTGATCGCATTGTGGAGTAGCGCCCTCGCAGAAATCTCGCGAATGCGATCTCGCACAAACTCGGCGCGTCTGGATAGCGGTCGCACCGAGCGAATTATTCCCGGTTGTTGGAGTAGCGTATCTTCGAAATACAGGCCCAAGTCTTCGCAGGCTTCGGAGTTGGGGGGGGGGGGTTCTTGTGTTGACGCTTGTTCCTTGTCGTAGGGCGTCGAGCCTTGGGCGTGCGGCGTTATCGGGCCGGCGTTTCCTGGGGCTTGTGTGGCGTTATCGGGCCTACACGGGGGGTCTTGTGCACGGCGGTTATCAGGCCAGTGCGGTCCTTCGCCTAGGCAGCGCGTTATCGGGCGCCCACCTAAACGGTATACGTTTAACGTGCCTTTGTTCCAGCACGGGTCTGTGGGGGGTGAGCACCCGAACCAGCAAACGACGGGGGGCCGCGATATCGAGGCGGCTCTACTTGCCGGCGCTTGGTGGTTCCCCTGGAACCTCGGAGAAGACGGAAGGTCTTTGTGGTTCAGAGAAATTTCGGGACTGAGTCCTTACTCTATCCTATGTCCTAGCTACTGGCTACTCCGTACTACTGCTTGCTAAGCCTATCGTTGTGTGCCTATCCCTACTTCTGTCGTGCTTGCACTGCCGTCCTTCAACCTGATTTGCGTGGCGCAATCAAGATCTTACCTCGGCGCGTTTTGTTCGGCGGGGGTTAGGGTCGGCGCGTTTTGCTCGGCGCGTCTTGCTCGGCGCGTTTTGCTCGGCGGGGATTAGGGTCGGCGCGTTTTGCAGAACCGGGTGCGCTGGTCGACCCGTCGAATGATTACGCGTCACACTGGATTCTGGCACCGTGTCTCACGGCCCATCACCCACGCCGACTTTCCCGTCGAGCTCGGCCCTGCGTCGCGCCCATCAATCCGCGTCGCGTTCCATCAGCCGCGTCGAAGTTCGCCTTGTGCAGCAAACAGCCGCGCTAGCGACACGGTGGAGGGAGGCGGCGTAACAGGAGCGCGCGCGAGTTGGGCAGTCAAGTCAGTGACCTGGTCTCGTGCCGCCCGGAGCTGAGCTTGTAGATCACGATATTGCTCTGTCGAGGAGCCTCGCTCGGCGCGGAGTAGAGCCTCGGCAGCGTCGGCGCGCTCAGCACGAGCGCGGAAGTCGGCCACTCGGTCCTCCAGGACGGCGTAGTCCCGCTCGGCGTGCTCCCGGGAGAGGAGCGCCTGCTCGAGCCGGATCATGCCTGCGCGATAACCCTCGCGAGCACGATGCAAGATCGCGAGATTGCGGTCATGCAGCACGGACGCGTGAGTAGCCAAGCCCGCATTGTGCGCTGAGACGAGTTCGTACTGGGCGCGCAGCTCCTGGTTCTAGCGCTGGAGAGTGTGCGCGTCGGCGACAAGAGCAGTCACCGAGTGGACGGGGGCGCCTGAAGCCGGAAGCTGGACTTGGGGCGCGACGGGGAGGCGAGGACGATGCGCGCCGAGGGCACAAACCGCGCAGCCAGCGGCCTTGAGGTCGTCGGTGTCAAGCTCTTCTTCCTCCAGGTCAATGTCGTTGACGTCGACGTCGTGGCGGCGAGCCATGAAGCTTGGAGTACCGCGAAGCGGACTACGAGGGCAGAAAACGCGATGGTGTCGAGACGAAGCGAAGGCGCGGGGCAGGTTCTGCGACGACACACCCACCTGGGGAGTGCGCGTGCGTGGCCACGCGCGCCGAGCGTGACGACCTTCGCGTCGACCTCGCAGCCGCCCAAGCCGCCCTCGCTCCTGTCCAAGCGCGGGTGGCCGCCGCCGAAGCTGAACGAGATCACATGCGGCAGCTCGTGGCCACTGCCGAGCAGCAGCGCAACGCCGCTCTCGCCGAGCGTGACCGCGTGACCCGCGTTCTCATGGTCGTCGAGCAAGAGCGTGACGGGGCCCTCGACATGCGAGATCAAGTGCGTCGCGCCTCCACGGCCCTGAGACGCGAGCGAGACGATGCTGTCACCGAGAGGGACCGGGCACGTCAAGCCGTGACCGCCCTTGAGCAGTGGCGAGACGCTGCCGTCGCCGAGAGAGACCAGGCTCGTCAGGCCTTGACCGCTCTGGAGCAGCAGCGCGCCCTTGTCGACGAAGAGCTCCGCGCGGCCGGTGCGTCGCTTTCTCTGAGCCGCATGGAGATCGAGGCGGCCCAGAACCTGAACGTCCCGCTGCAGGACGACCTTCGGCGCGTCAACGCGCTCTTAGTGGCCCACGCCGAGGAGCTCCGCCGCGGCGCGACGCGTATCCACGAGCTGGAGGAGTCAGTGGCTACTGCTACGACTCTCCGTGTGGCCGCCGAGTCCGAGATGGCGCGGGCTCAAGCCGGCGAACTTTGCGCCACATCTCGCGCGGCGCAGTATCGAGCTGGGTGGCTGTCCATGCGGCGGTCGTCTCAGCAGCGTCGAGGAGCAGTCGGCGCCCAGACCCATCGCCTCAGCGCTCGCGTCGCCGAGCTGGAGGAGGAGTGCGACTTGGCCATCCGAGAGCGCGACGAACGCGCTGTGGCTTGGCGTTGGATGCTTCTAGACGCGCGTCGGGGCCGAGAGCTGGCGCGGCGGGTGCGCGACGAGCTTGCTGATCGTCTCGCCGGCGTCGTAATGCGTGTAGGCGGGCAGATCGACACCGCTGACCTGGTCAGGCGACTCGAAGCCACTTTCACGGCGGAGATCGACGGTGCGATCCCCCTCCCCCCTGCTATTCCTACGTCCGCAGCAGTTCCTGTGGCATCCGCGGTTCCTGTTCCTGCTCCAACTGCGTCGAGCTCTGGTGCCCGGGCGGGCTCGTCGGCTTCGACGGCGGGCTCGACGACTGGCGCTTCCCCTCCAGCAGGTCCTTCGGGCTCCCGTCCCGTTCCGACTTCGTCCGCTGCCTCGTCCTCGTAAGATTTTCGGCGACCTCGACACAGCGCGTCGAGTCGTTCGGATTCTCGGTCACGCAAATCTAGGCCGTCAGGTGTGGCGTCCGCTACGTCGTCCGGTTCTTCGCCCCTTCGACGTAGTCGGCGGCCCTCTACCGTGGCCGACACTGCGGACTCCGACAACGCCGCTGCGCAGGCCTCATCTGCAGCTACGCTCTCTGCGGCCGCTGCAGCTGCAGCGCGCGCACGAGAGGACGCGTCGCTCTTCGGCTCCGAGTCTTCGGACAGCGAGGACCAAGCGCGGCGAGCTCAGTCCAAGCGCCGCCGGCTGCATAGCCCCGGGTCTCGCTCACGGTCACCGGCGCGTCCGCCTCCACGTTCGCAGTCACGTTCCCGGACACCCCCGCGCTCCCGTTCTGCTTTGCGTTCGCGTTCCCGCTCGGCCTCTCGTTCGCGTTCGCGTTCCCGCTCGGCCTCTCGTTCGCGTTCGCGTTCCCGCTCGGCCTCTCGTTCGCGTTCGCACTCGCCTCCACGCTCGCGCTCGCGTTCTCGCTCGCCCTCCTTGGCGTCGACGCGTTCGGCCGGCTCAACGCGTTCGGCGCACGCGGCGGGGTCGGCGCACTCGGCGGGGTCGGCGGCCGCGCGTCACTCTTCTCCTGCACGGCCGACGCACTCCTCGTCGAGGTGAAGAGAAATCCGAGATACCCGCGTGTTGAAAGCGCAAATAAGGAGAAGGTGGCCAACTGCAGTCGCCGCCGGGTCTTACCTACGTGCTTGCTTCATCTCGTGTTGGCCACGATGGCAACGATGCAGTTGGACGAGCTTGACTTGGACGTCACAATTGTGGTGCAGGTTTCATGCAGGCGCGGCAGTTCGATCTTACCTGGGTCTTTTCGAGTCAAGGCACTGCAGCATTCGGGATGCATCAGTCAGCAGCGCCGTATCTAGTCCTTCCTCAGCAGCGCCATCGCAGTGCGCGATGGTGCGCCGACGACAGCAGTCTCCAACAGAGGGTTACACGGAGGTTACGCCTGGGGTTACGCGAGAATGCTTATGCTCGCACTATCCAGCGCCGCCTCGTCGTGCGTGTTCACAACGAAAACGAGGCAGCAGGAAGCGGACTACACGTCGAGATGAGCGCCTTCTTCGAGCAAAAGGTCAAGGCGCCAGTCGTCAAGCTGCTCAAGTCTGGCGGTGGGTGTCCCTCTTGCTCTGCTGCGTACAGCCTCCGCGCCTGAACTAACCCCTCGCGTCTCTCTCTCTCAGCCTCCCCCAGCAGCATCGCGCTGGCCATGGCCTTCGGCGTCTCCGGCGGCATCTTCCCCGTCCCTGGCGTGACAACGGTGCCCGTCATGGCCGCCATCTTCCTCTTCCGCCTGAACCCCGTGGCCGCTATGCTTACCAACTACCTCGTCACGCCACTCAACATCGCGTCTGTCCCCGTTTTCATGTGCGTCTGCTGGCTGTTGGCCTCTGGCTGTTGCTTTCTCTGTCCTGCAATGAAGACTGACCGGTTCAATGTAATGATGGGGGCTGCTATAGCTACTACGGCAACGCCGTCTTCGGCGGAGGCGACGGAGAGGGCGAGTTCGCCATCAGCAGCTTCATGGAGGACATCAAGACGGACACCATCAACACGCTGCTGCGTTTCCGCTTCACACTGCTGCACGCCATCTACATGTGGCTGCTGGTCATGCCCGTGCTTACGCTCGTTATCTACGGCGTGCTCACGCCCGTGCTACGTCGCGTCATGCCCAAGAGCAAGGACGAGCGCAAACACGCCTGAGGAGGGTGACGCTTTCTTGCATTTCGACGCGTCTTCAATTTCGTGTTATCGCAGCTATTGTCGGGTAGCACATACAGAGCCCTTCTCTTTGAGACGAAGAGCACATACATAGATGAGTTTTGGTGTGTTGTTTGCCCGGCTACTCCTTGAGTTCCTCGAAGCTAGCGCTGCGGGGCGTCGAGATAGCTGCGCGCTCTGGGGGGCTGAGCGGCGAGCAGTTCTCATCAATTCTGACGGCAACGTGGACAGGAAGCACGTCCTCCTCCGTGGGCACAGAAGCATACACCTCGCCGCAGTGATCAGCCGTGCTTGGGCGCTGTTGCTCCAAGCTGTAGCCAGCGTACACCAGCAGGGCATCTTCTTCGCGCGAGACGACGTGCTCGTCGTAGTCCCGAGACTGGTAGTCGACGTGCACGAACGCACGCTCCACCTCGTCCAGGTTCTCCACCTTGAATTGAAGCTGCAGGGCGATGTCGTGTGCTGCCTTCACCGACATTTCTGCGGGCACGACCACCTCCAGCTCCACGAGATACTTGGAGCCAAAGTGATAAGCGCGCACAATGTCCAACGCCATGGACGGGTGGTGGTGGCTGCACAGCTCCTTGACCTCCTGCACGAAGTCCTCGCTGGCGCACACACCCACGAGCTGCGTGACCTGCTCCCAGGCCATTTTGCCCCACGAGACCATGATGTAGAGGAAAATGAGGATAGCGCCTGCGGGGTCGACGTACCAGGCGTCCGAATCCACCGCAGCCACGATGTAGGCCGCCACTGCGAACGAGTTGCTGATGGTGTCGTTGAGGTTGTCCTGATGAATGGCCTCCACGGCTGCAGAGAACGTGGACTTGAGGATCCAGCCAGAGTAGATCATGAGGCCGATCTTCACGACCACAGCGGAGACCACGATCACGATGGCGGCAGTGGAGAGCGTCGGCGCCTCGGGTTCGCCCGACGTGAAGCCGTCGATGAGCTTCCTGGAGGACTCCTGGATGAAGACGATCGACGCCAGTACCATCACGCTGGCCGCCACAATGATGGCCACGGGCTCGAAGCGCGACGTGCCGGCCGGGTACTTGGCGTAGTCCTGCTTCTTGCCGGAGCGCGTGCCGGCGTACCAGAGCAGCCCCTGGACGAAGAGGTCGACCATGTTCTCCACGAGCGCCGAGATGAGCGCGAGCGAGTGGCTGGCGATGGCGATGGACGTCATGCTGATGACGATGACGATGTTGGTGAAGAGCGAAGCCTTGAGCACGACGGCCACGTGATCCAGTTGACGCTCTCCGCGCGCCACCTCCAGGACGAAGTTCCACGGCATGACCGACGCGGGCTTGGCGGCGGCAGGTGTAGCAGCAGCGGGGGTCAAAGAAGCCGCGTCCGAGGCGCTGCGGGCAGCGCTGGACGCGCGCTGGCTCATCTTGGAAGGGGGAGGGGGAGGCTTTGGGGCTTGGGGCTCGAAGTCGAAGTGAGCTTTTCGTCCGGCCAACATGGACACCCTCATTTGTGCATAGACGCTGCATCGCACACATTCCTGCTGTTAAGACAAGTTGAAGTTGAAGTGCTTTTGAGAGGCAATCTGAATCTCAACTCAACGCCGCTTCTTGCTTTTTCAGACAACAAAGTTGCCCCTCTGACAGTACATTATCCTCTCAATGCACTAAGATAAAGAAGCGCTCGCTCAGGCGCTCTCCGGCGGCGTTGGCTCCATCTTCGTTGAGAGACTGCCGCTGCGCAGCGCCTCGGCCAAGCTGCGCGGGGCATTTGCAGCAGTAACGTATTAAGACACCGCTACCTGAACAGCGCAATGCCAATTCGAGAACGTACCAGTAGAAGGGATTGAACTGCTTGACTTTCACGCCGTTCGCGTCCTCTGCGAGAGCAAGCCGCACCCCTCGAGCAGGGAGCCACTTCTCGGTCATCACGTCCACCGGCGCGCCGAGCTTGTTGGCGATCTTCTTGGTCAGTCCCGCTAGGATCCGGCATGCAGGCGAGTTCGACAGGATCTGCGCCGGGAGGGCGGCGCCCGTGCTCTCCAAGCACCCATTGAGGCACTGGAAGACCATGACGATAGGAGGGACGCCGCGCTCGGTTAGGCCAACGTTCGCCCAGTCCGAGCCGTGGCGTGTGAGCGTTCTCAGACAGAGCTTCCAGACCTGGTTCTCGGTATCTGATAGCCCAAAATCAAGGACGTGAGCAGGCATATAAGTCCATTCGTATCGCGTTCACACGAGACGTACCATAGTTCGACAGTCGTTGGAAGCGGACCCGCTTTGCCGACAGGAAAATGCGCTGGTCCTCTTCGCCTCTTCGAGTGCGATTTAGCACAGGCTTGCTCCAAACGCCCTCCATTTCCACGGTGAATTCCATCGCGCGCGCACCACTGCGCTTCATGGTCCACACGTACTCGAAGGTGTTGTCTCCGTGGAGTATGATCCGGGTCTTGCTCCCGTCGCCCTCACCAGTCTCAGCACTGGGCAGAGGCGAGGGCTGCTGCTGCGGTATTGCGGACTTTGGCTTGGTGGCCGAGTCATTGGCATTGTCTTCTTGCTGTTGCGGTTGTGCGGTAGCAGCCTGGGCTGCTATGGACGTGTAAACCCCGGGGAGAAATGCGTACGCTGGTGTCTCTGGTGTTCCGGTCTGCTTCCAGCTGACCCGCTCGTCCGCTGCACGCAGCAAAACCTCCATGGCAGACTCCACCTGAGACTTCAAGAGCTCCACATCCTGCTTCGTCAGCATCGCGTTGGGCGCGAGAGTTGTGGCTTGGACACTACGCAGGAGGCAACGATGCCAGCAGAAATAGACGGCCATTTTGAGGGCTCAGGCATGGGCGAAACGCGCCTCGATAATGAGATGGAGATCGACGGCGAGGATGGAGACGACAGCTACGCGAACGCGTATCTTGACGACGATGATGTGCAGGAGAGCGACGACGCAGAACTGGCCGAGATGCTGGCCAAAGTGCAGTCCATTCAGCAGGTGGAGGGGCGGCTTCAACTTGCAGAACCAGCGGCAGCCACAGTCACCACCGATGTGAAAGGTGGCCAAGGCGATGAAGCTAAGGCGTCAGCGCGCATGTCACCTAGGGTGACTACAGTCGTGGACGCTAGGAAGTCGCAGTCCCTTGTGAAATCCCCATCGGCAGCTAGCTCAACGTCCTGTGTTGGTGTTTACAAAAGTCAAGATGGTATTACGACCATCCCACGCAGCGCGCTCAACGCCAGGAATGCTGGGGCTGGGGCCTTGCTGGGGATCAAAAAGGCCGCCGTATACGAGGAAAAGCTGTTGCAGGCTGTGAAGACGACGAATACGATCGAGAGGCTCAGGCAGAAGGCTGTGGCTGCTGCTCCGGGTGAGGCGGAATGAGTGGCATGATGCATCGATACGAAACACTAACAACTCTCTTGCTGATCAATCTCTGGCAAATACTTCTCCATTAGCAACTATTAAGGTGCGTAATGAGTGACTTGCATGCTGTTTATCCACAAAATGCTGATGCGCTTGTCTTCGCTGATCATTTCAGAAACGAATCGAAACTCTGTCAGCGCCGCCAAAAAAGCCCACGGCCCGCAAATTTTCCACAGACGACGAGGAGCAACACTGCCGGTTTCAACTCCGCAAAAGTGCTGGACAGCGCTCTAGGGCCTCGTCCAGAGATGATTTTGACAGCGCTGGCGAGTCCGGCCAGAACTTTATTTCTCGCATGGAAGCTGCAGAAAGGAACCGCCAAAAGGTAACAAATGGTGCGCATATCGCGTTTGTGAGCTGCTTCTCACTCCCACCGCGTCGTTCTATCAGAAACTTGAATTGAGCCGAGGGGAGAACGATTACAACGCACGCTTGGTAGGCTGTGAATGCTCATTAAAACATAACTCGCTACAGCAGTAATTGTACCTCTAACAGTCTTTCTTGTGCTGTAGGATAAGAAGTCTTGCCCGAAATGTGGAGCCCCGCAATCGTACTCGGAGTTCCGGGACAAAAAGAAAAAGTGCCAAATGTGTGGGGTCGAGTTTCGCTTCGTGAATGCGTGGGGGGATATCGAACACAGTTTTACTTCACGAATGGCTGAAGCCTCACGAGCGCAGGCGGAAAGAAAGGAGCAAATTTATGCCCAGGTCACAGCGGAGGAGACCATTCGACACAGAGTCACCAAAACAGCGAAGCAATTGCAGTATGAACAACGAATCGCCACGAAGCACAACAAGAAGACGTTTCTCGATAGAAACTACAAACCCAATAGTGACTCGAAACCCAAGAAGGCGCAGTTGGAGCTGGAGGCAAAGCGCAAAGCCGGTAAACCCGTCAGGTAAAATAAAATTTTTTGACACCACCCGTAAGGCTTTGAACGGTTTATTTTGTTGGCCCTCACTACTTGATTTGCCTCGATATTTCCCTGTGATAAGAGCAGCTGGGTGAGTGAAGTGGCCAAAATTGATCAAAGTGAAGATGTACTTACTGCGCGCGAAGGCGAGTTGCAGGACCTAAAGTCGAAGCAGTTGAGTACCCTGGAGCCGTCACTGAAGTCCGTGAGTAGGTCTAAAAGTCAAATTGCATGATGTAAGTCTGCTGCAAGATTTTTCCTCGTGACACACAGGGCAATACCATACTGGAAGAATCGCCTTATACGAATAGCACTGCGTAGGTTGTATAGGAACAGGTGGTTGCTTCCAGGTAGGAAGTCTGGACCTGCGCAGACCAGTTTCCGCTGTTTGGGGCGACGTTGCATCCGATATGGATAGGTCTGGACGGCGAACATTGTTTGGGCCGTCCGAATCTGATGACGATTCCGCGTCTTGATTGGTAGACCTTGTCGATGTATCATGGGCAGGACTAGGATCTTGGCCATAAGTTGAGGAAGCACACGTCCCATCACTGGTGTGCTCTGCTTTAAACGAAGTAACCTGTGACAATGTGAGACTACTGAACAAAAACCCGCTAGCCTGTAGCACAACACTCACCTCATTAATTTGAGGTAATGAGGGCTGTTTACTCAAGCCCTTGGCAACGCGATCCATTTCCCTCAGCTTGTTCTTATACTTTTGGAGACCCTGCTCGAATTCTTCTTGATCTTGGCTGTAACAAGCGATTGGGATTAGAAATCCCGAAGTTAATATTGTTACGGAATGAAGTACAACGCACACCACCCAGCCACGCACAGCTTTTGGTTCTCGGCTTGTTGCCTCATTCGGCGCAAACGCGCTGCCGTTTCCTGCCGAAGCTTTCTCTCCATGAGTTTCTGCTCCGGATCAATATCTTCGCTTCTCTCGGGGGTGCTTTGGCGCTCGTCCCTGTCGATCCGGTGAACGCGTTGGTTTGATCTACAACAGTGCGCGTGAAAACAATGTTGGTAAGTCTAGTAGATGCCATTGGTCGCACGACTCAGAAGCTCGTAGTACTCATGCAAGCGTCGGATCGTTTTCCTGTGAAAGGATTCCAGGTTGACAGGCTCCGCTTCTAAGCCAGACGCAGAGCTTGGCGGTGTCGTGTCCGGAGTCTTCTCCTGACGCTTCATTCGGATGCGCTCCTTGGCCCGACGGCGACTCTCCTGCGCCCGCCTGATCTTCTCCGCGCATTCGTCCGCTGCACTCAAAGCATTCGACTGGAGCTGCTCGGCTGCATGCAGCGACTGCTGTTGCTCCAGCTGGTTCGTCCGCGCGACTCGAGCCCGTGCGCGCTCTTGTGCCTGTTTGACCCTCTCGATCTCCCTCTCGTGCCTCTTCCTCTCCTCCCCCTTCCGCCGACGAGCCTCCTCCAGCCCCCTCTTCTCCCTACTGTCATCGCTCTGGCTAGCCTGTTTCCTGTGCCTCGGTATTGCAGCAGCAACTGCAGCTGGCGATGATGACGCAGTTATCAACGGCAGCTTCTCCGTCGACTGTCGTTGCGATCCTGTGTTGTTGTTGTTGACGCTGCGTCCTGCATGGTCTCTGGCCTCCTCAGTCGAGTCTCCAACCTCCTCCTGCCCCTCCTGCTCTCGTTGCCTCACCCCGAAGCCGGGCAGCAGCGCGGGCAGTTGCAACTCCCTCGCCGCCAGACACAGACGCCTCGCGCGCTCCAGCAGTTCCGTCTCGGCCGCACTCTCCATCACAGCAGCACTTCAACTACACGCCTCGCGGCTTGTCCAATCACAAGACATCCGTTACGTCCTCCCTTTTCGACCAATCGCAGCGTCTTGTCGCGGTGTAGGGAGAACTCTTCCTCCACGTCATTCGGACTCGGTCGCTCAAGCCCCCCACCCAAGCAGAGAGGAGAGGAGACCATGGCCTCGCAAGACGCGTCCGCGCTCGCCGAGCAGCTGCGGCAGGAGCGCAAGAAGCTGACCCTCTTCCGCCGCCCGCTGAGCGTGCTGTACCACTTCGGCGTCGTGTTCCTGCGCTTCCTCAAGTGGCTGGCGCTGCGCGTGGAGCGCAGCTCGGCCACGCGCTTCGTGCTGCTGCCGCTGCTGCTGCTGTGGCTTGTGGCTTCGAGCCGCGACGGTCCGCACCGCCAGCTGCTGGACGAGTTCAACGCCAGCGTGCAGTTCGTGGTGTGGTGGGTCGGCCTGGGCGTGCTCTCGAGCGTGGGGCTGGGCACGGGCATGCACTCGGGCATCCTGTTCCTCTTCCCGCACATCTTCCTCGTGGTGCAGGGCGCGCAGGAGTGCAAGTCGCTGGACTTCGACAGCCGCCACCACATGTGGTTCCACCCCTTCGAGGCCAACTGCAACAACGTGCCCGACGAGTCCACCGTCACGTTCGCCGCCATCTTCTGGAAGGTCTTCCTGCCCTGCATGCTCTGGGGCGCCGGCACGGCTGCCGGAGAGATCCCGCCCTACGCGCTCAGCCGCGCCGCCAAGCTCGCCGGCCAGCGCAACGAGGAGTTCGAGGAGATCTCCGAGTCCAAGTCCCAGTACAACCTCATGAACAGCATGAAGGACTGGATGATCCGCTTCCTGGAGAAGCACGGCTTCTGGGGCGTGCTGCTCATGTCGGCCTGGCCCAACATGGCCTTCGACCTGTGCGGCATCTGCTGCGGACACTTCCTCATGCCCTTCTGGACGTTCTTCGGCGCCACGCTCATCGGCAAGGCACTCATCAAGGTGAACCTGCAAGCCGCGTTCTTCATCACCATCTTCACGGACGCGCATCTCAAGCGCGTGGAGGCATTCATCGGCCGCGTCACGCCCGAGCAGTGGGGCATGGGCTCCAGGGTCAGCGAGTTCCTGCTCGAGTGCCGCCACAAGTTCCACTCGGCGCAGGTCAAGGCCGCCGCGGAGCACGCGGGCACGGCCGTGGAATCCAGCTCCAGTCTGGTCTCGCAGCTGGGCTCGTGGGTCATGGTGGCCTTCATCGGCTACTTTGCCATCTCGTGCATCGAGCAGTTCGCCCAGCAGCACGCGGCTGAGGAGGACGAGAAGAAGCTCAAGAAGCAGAAGTAAGCCCAAACCGTCAGTGTACTAGCAAACTACCGTCCGAGCCGGAGAAGGAGGAGCTCAATTGTCACGTCACTCCCGCTTTTTCGTCGTCGCGCTCAAGACCGGCGGAGATTGCCCGACTAGGAGGATTAGAGCGAGCTTCGAGGTCCCTACCTGCATATTGGTTTTGCACGTTTTGGATTCCTCTGACTATTAATCGCTTCAAATAGAGAGCATTCGGAAAGTTGTAAACCTCGGTGCACTCGGCTATTAGCAAGGTTGGAGCTATGTGCAAGATGGTCATAAGTAGTTACGCCTTGGCGCGTGTTGCTTGCTTCTCTTCGCGAAGCTTGAGGTCTGCTCGCTGCACTGCTTCAAGTCGCAGCTTCTCAGACTGCGCTAACGCTTCGTCACCGTTCTGTTGTTGCCCACGACAAAGAGTTAGTCTGCGATTCTCTTCATCGTTTTCAAACTTGAAGTTTTGTTGTTCTTACCTTCAAGGCGACAATATCCTCGCGGTATCGTACGTCCGATGGGAGTGGGTTGTCCACAGGAGTGTGCTCGAACGCTGGTTCAGACTCCACATGCCAGTAGCTGCCACAGTCACAACCAACAGGTTAGTTTATCCTAAGGGCAACCTCATCACAATTGCTCGATCTACGTACGTTTTGCCGTCGAACTGAAGGTGTGACAGCCAGGAGCCGTTCACCGTCGCTACTGCATGCTTGGCGGATTTCTATAAGAAGGCAAAAGGCTCGAGTTAGAATGGCGTGAGTGACCAAAGGAACAGCCACAGCACTCTTACCTTTGCTGGGTAAATGCAGCCCTTGATGTCATCGCTCTGCGACTTCTTCAAGAAGCTGTTGTTCGCGTCAAAGTGGAGCTCGCCCACGAGCGGATTGTTGACGTCCTCGAACCGCGAAGAGCCGACGATCTCCACCACTCGGTCGCCGAACAGGATGCCGCTCATCTTGATCTGGGGCATCGTGTACGTGATAACTGCGCCGTCGTGGAACGAGATGGTCACAGTTCCGTTCTGGTAGTTGGCCAGGGAGTTGCGAGTCGAGACGGACTCGAACTCGTACACGCCCGACATTCGGTAGAGCCCCTTGGGCCCCACGACGGTGAAGGCGGACTTGACGGGGTGGTGGCTCACGTGCTCCAGGAACACCTGCGTGCCGTCGGCGTACGTTGCCTCGTAGGTCTCGCCTAGAATGGGGTTGAACGGCTTCAGCTGCCCGACGCAAAAGTGCAGACCGCCCGCGACAAACGCCATGACGAACTTCATGCGTTCAATCGGGTCTGCGCCACTAAGCGCCGCCTTCTTGAGCACGGTGGGGGCGTAGTTCCACCCGTTCGCCACGCGCTCGAGCAGCGACCGGGGCTCAAAGATGCGAATCGGCAGCGAGATCCGCACGGCCAGTTTGCCCGACAGAAGTTGCGAGCCGACCTGCATCATGACCTCTTTGAACACGCCCTGCTGCTTCTTGAGCGTCTCTCGGTCCTGGAAGAGCAGCCCGCCGCGCTTGTTGTGCTTGAAGTGCTCCATCCACTGCATGCGGTCTTTGATCTGCAGCTGCGCCCACGAGTCCTGCGCGCTGAGCCCCGGGCGTTGCGGGGCATCGTCATGTGTCGGCTGGTCCTTCGAGCTGGAAATGGCGTCGGTCGCAGCCTTGCGGGCCTCGACGGAGGAGATCGAGTCGTGCGGGACGACGTTGTCGATGTGCAGACTCACGCTAGAGAGGATGAGGCCGTCGTGTCCGAGCTCATGTGTCGCCATTATCAAAGAAGAGAGAGAGAGAAGTTGAGGTGGAAGCGTTGTCTTCGTCTTCAGCGCCGAGGCGAGGCGAGGTGGTCGACGCACAACACAAAGTGGGGCGGTGGAACTGCTGGCGGATATTCCTGGCGGTTGTCGCCGTCATGCCCGCCTCGTTCTGAACTCCAAGACGTTGTCGTTGGGCACCATAGAAGAGCAGCAGACACCAGCCCAGCCTATTCTTGGGCAACGAATTGCCGCTCCTTCTCCTTCTCAGGGCAGAAAATCTGTACACGACAACTTCGGTTCAGAAGAGGAGGCAATCTCTTGGTAGATCGAGCCCTCAGCCTCAAAATGCCCCGTGACTTGCTTCAATTCGGTGGCGGCAATATCACAGCAACTTGTCGGTTGAAGCTTCTTCTCGTTGAAGAGTCAAGATGAGGCTAGTCTATTTTCCTGTTTGGATGTCGATGTTGCCTTTCAGCGGGTTTCGAGTCCATCTACTGCTGCTGCTGGTGCTGCTCATCTGGGTTGGACGTGTACTCCGTGATGATCGCCGTGAGCGCATCGTACGTGTAGAGGGACGACGAGTGGCCGTCGCTCCATGTGACAGCGAACGCATAGTTGCCCTGGAATTCAATGCAACGTTAGTGTGCAGCTCTATGCATACGAAAACCAGCACATACCTTCCGTTCGACAGCCGTGGGGCGAATGTCGTCCGGGATCGTAGCTGGGTCCAAAATCTACAGGATTCATATGAAGTCAATACCAGGCGACAAGTAACTCTTGACTCGATCGGTGACTTTCACCAATTGGCGTACCTGTTCTCCGGTGAACTCGTCAATGCATTGAGCGCAGCGGCACCTGAGCGAGTAAATTTTAACAGGTCAGCTGAAGCTTCGACAATATCAGCATGAGGGAGAGTGTGGTCAAGGCCACTTACTTTGCACGGAGATCAGCTGGGTGGAGGACCGCCTCTTTCGCCGCGTTCAAGCTGTAGAGACGGAGGACAATGCCCCGGTTGCTATCGTAGAGCAGCTCGGGTGCCAGGCGCACATTGTGTTTCAGAACCACCAGCTCCTTTGCAACCTATTGCGGGTAACAACCAAAGCAAATTTAACAACTTGGGTGAAGTTGTCTTTACACAGCAAAAGGACGTACTGTGGTCGCCAGTGAGTCGTAAGTCTTCTCTTGCTCCGGAGATAGCCCCGATAAAACGAAAGGACTACAGAATAGGAGGCAGGGTCAGTTTATGCCTCGTGGCACAACACAATTCAACGCTGGATATTCACGCACCGTCCAGAATCGCCAGATGAGCTAAACTGCTCCGAGATTGGAAGCTTGAACACGTTCTTCATGTTGTACTTGTCCACCAGCTCCTGCGTGTGTCCCGGGCCTACGTATCGAGTACGAATATAGAAGAGCAATTAAAATCTGCCTCCAGGCTGCGCAGAACCGATTTTGACTTACCAAATGGGTAGTGGCGATGTCCATGGGAGCAGTCGAAGTAAGACATGTTCTCCACGACAGCCGCTGTTCTCACCTGCACAAGTGTTCCAACAGTAGCGTCAACAACCGTTGCTGTAACTATGGTGGTGCAAAATACTACGTACCTTCAAGTCTTCAAACATCGCGATTCCTTTCTCTACGTCTACAAAACTGGGAATTAAGTGTCGACGTTAGTCCAAGCTCTCAGGGCAGATAATGTACTGTGACCTTACCTGAGCTTCTGCGGGGTTGTTACGACGACCGCAGCCGAGATAGCCATTTGCTGCGATAGAGACATCTGAATGTCACCCGTTCCTGGAGGCATATCCACGACCAGGTAGTCGAGGTCGCCCCACTCCGTGCCGAGAACGAGTTGGTCGATCAACTTTGAGACCATGGGACCACGCATCACAGCAGCTCCGACACCTACTCATCAGAGTCATGTTAGAGCATGAGAGTTGACAGCATATAACGCTACGCATTAATTGCCCTACCGCCAGCACCCGGAGCAGCGCGCTGGTTCACGAAGCCGAACGACATGCACTTGACGCCTTCGTATTCCACCGGCTCGACGAAGTTTTTCACCTTTTTCGACGGTCGGATGGAGCGGTCTTCAGGCGAAACCATCGTCGGCAAGCTCGGTCCGTAAATGTCAGCGTCCAGAATACCCACGCGAGCACCTCGCTTCGCCAGACTGCAATAAGCCAGTAGTTAGCGACTCTACTCTTCGCCACCACTCCAAGGCTGCCAAGCTCACCTGAAGGCCAAATTCACTGCCACTGTGGACTTCCCCACTCCGCCCTTACAGCTCGAGACTGCAATGATGTCCGACACGTGGGCCAGCGACGAGAAGCGTCCGGCTCGGGCGTTGCGTGGCCTCGACTTGGTGATCTCAAAGTCCGTGGCCTTGACCCAGTCCAGGTTCTTCACGGTGAGTTCCGCGTCCTGCTGCCACTGCAACAACAGACAAAACACTTGAGCATTGCGGCTCCAGAGCTAACGAGAGGTGGAGAGGGCTTCAGCCAACGAACCTGCTGCGCCAGCTCCATCAGCGCCGGCGACGGCGTCTCGATCTTGCATGAAACTTTTCCAGCCTCGGGCGTCACACGCAGATCCTGTAGAGATATAGAGTGAACAAGAGAGAGAGAGAGAGAGAGAGAGCAGTGCATTAGTTGGGGTGATGCAGATTGTGTCATTCCAGAGTGTGTCAATCGCCACCTTCACGCGGCCCAGAGACACGATGTCGCCCAGCCCCAAGCCGTCGGACACGCCGCGCAGCTTCTCCAGCACCTGCGTCTCCATCTGCGCCGCCTGACGCGTCGACAGCGCGCGCACCGAGCGACGCGCCAGCAGCGCCGAGCGAGCAGCTCCCCACCGCAGCATTTTTGACTGGCAAAGTGATCGAGTGTGTATAATGCAAAATGCGACTCACGGTACTAGAATTTGGTGTTGTACACACATTTTGTATCCGCGAAGCGACGCGACGCGAAATGGCTACACTTTGGTCATGGGGATGAAGATGGCAGAGGTCAGCGATGCGCTGTGGGTATTGCCTGAGCGAAAGACGGGGAACTGACTGGGGTGTGCTGTTTGAAGGACGAGGCGGAGGTGGAGGCGTTGCTGAAGCAGATTGCGCTGGCCAAGCAGAAGGAGCTGCGACTTCGAGCCGAGAAGAAGCGGGTCCGAGACGAGATGGGCCAGCTGCAGGCAGTGCGTGGCAGAACTGAGATGGTAACAAGACTTTTGGTAGGAGCTGATTGCAGTGGAGTGGAATTTTGTCCGCATAGGGAACGCTTTGGTCACGGGAGGAGCAAGCGCAGAAGCAGCTTCTGGAAGTGAGGCGGGCGAAGGAGCGACTGGAGGCGCAGCAGAAGGCGGAAGAGGACAAACTAGCCAAGCTCAGCGACAACCTACGAGAGCAGGTGCGATGGATGGATCGTTAGCGTGGTTGGGTGTCGCTGATTTGCTGTCATGGCATGGCGCCTTGCTTCCTCAGGAGCTGAAGTTTCGTCGGGGTTTTCAGGCAAAACCCAGTCCGCTCATGCAGGCGGCGGCGTCACTGGTTGCTACCACGCCAACCCCATTGCGGGCAGCGCGGAGTAGCTCGAACAAGAACGAGAACGCAACTTCATTGCAGACAGAAAATGTTGTTGTCTCCGTTTCGATGGATAAGCGAACACGGATGTCGAAAACCCCGTCGCCACCGACATCGCCACCAGGTATTTGGTGATTCAGCTGAAGGTTTCGATCAAATCTACTGACACTGCAATCATTGTTGCTAAGCTGCTCAGTCTCCGGATCTTTTGGGCGTCAACAACGCTGTGAACCGTCCGGAAAATGACGCATTGCAGTGCCTCATTCGAAATATCAATTGCGTCGAGCAGCAGAAGCGCATCGACAGGTTGCAGGTCGAGCTCGAAAAGGCAAACTCGCGCCGTCGGGATGCAGATTTTCCGATTAAAGTCGCGAGGCATCCCAATTCTTCTTCGGATGATTTATCTGGTCCCCACAGGCGTCCAGAACGCGATTATCCACAAGAAACCCATTTGAGCGAGAATGAAGCTTCTCCAGGTAACGAACCCTTTAACCGTGTAATTAGTACTCGCCTGTTGAAGCGATGCCACTCTCATGGTCTTATGCTCACCATTAGGCACGAAAGCACATGACAGGAAAACTGAAGCTGTCAGAAGAGCTGCAACAAAGTTCATCCACCTGAAGTCATTGGAAGACCAAGCACACACACACCAGCCGGACCAGGCAATACCACCAAGTAACAACACGGATTCAAGCCAAAATGTCCAAGCCGTGGCACCCTCTGAGTCGGCAGTACCGTCCGGTGTACCCGGTGTACCAACGGCAGCGTGTCTCTCGCAGTTCGTGCTCCCTGGCGGCTATCCCCCCATCTATCCAGCGCCCATAGCCCCTTACCCATTCGTATCGCCCCCAACCGTCAATCCGTACGGGATCGGGTTTCCTTCGCCGTTTTTTCACAGTTTTCAATACCCAGTTGCACCTTCATGGGCTCCTCCAAGCACTTCGTATCCGTTCCAGATTGGCAACGCTCCTCCTGCACCCGATCAAATCTCAAAGCCCTCACTTCATCAGCAAGAAGAGGAAATTCGACGATTGGAACGAGAGCTGGAGATGCAGCGAATTGTCAATGAACAGCAAGCGGAAGCGAAAGAATTTGCTCGACTTCAGGGCCGTCTTCAGGAACTACAAGTAAGTACCCACTTTTTCGATTTGCGTTGGCGCATACTAATCATCAATGTCAAAGTAGACCAAGATCTCGACGCTGACAGTGGCAGACAACGTTAGTGCACCAGCAATCAACGAGACGGAGGCTGATGAGAAGGAGGGCTCGGCACTCAGGAGTTTGAAGGTAATTAATGGGATGTTTCAAAGGCGTGGCTACCTATGTCAATCATGCTGACACGTGTGTTTTTGTCGCTGAAAGAGGCAACATCTCGAGGGTCTGGCCAAGGTTCGAAATGAACGGGACCTTCTGGAAGAGCAAGAAAAGGTTAGTTGGTTTTATAAACAATGCATTCGTATCGCGCGGTGGGCTTAAACGCGTCCTGCTCCAGCTTGAGGAATTAAAGGAGCTGATCCAGCGCCGGAGAGAAGAGAAAAAGCGCGAGCTTGACCACGAGGAGTGGGTTGCCAAACAGAAGCGAGAGCTGGTTGCCCTTCGCCTGCAACGTGCGATTCAGCATGGCGACGCGAAACCCGCAGATCCACAGGAGGAACCAGCGGAGCCGTACACCCCAGACAGCGGTTTTGCCCTGCATTGGGACTACGCCGCTGGCATCCCAGCGACAGTAAATGAGGTGCAGGTACGAGTAATATCGTGTCAATTTCCGGTTGGATTTACTAAGACGTGCGTGCCTATTCAGGTTACTTATGCAGTATTTGAGGGCAAAGTCATCCGTACACCCTTCAAGGTGGTCTCCTCTAAAGAAACCAAAGCGGTTGGCCCGCAGCACAAGTTGTGTTCGTTTCTCTCCTTTCGACACATCAAGAAACTGCCGGCGACAGCAGACCTCCGTGTTGTGATGGAGGTACTAGTACTCAAATGCAACGAACATCTAGGTGCAAATCTAAAGTCTTTGTCCTGTGATGTTGCAGATAGCTGCGGTGGCACAAAGTGGTGCAGGTGGTCCACGCGCACCGACGAGTTTAGGCTGGACAGCATTTGATGTCTTCAAGATGGCAAACGAAGGCGAAATGGTTTTAGTATGTGGGTCGTTCAAGCTTCCGGTGAAGCAGTCGTCGATGCCAGACCCTTCGAAAACAATCGTTTTGCCTCCGAATCTCAATGAATGCGGCGATATAAGGCTGCACATTCGACTAGTGCATGGTGGGAGGGTAGAGGAAGCGTCAAGGTTGGTCGTGGATCCAGAATTACATGCAGGTAATACCTCCACAAATGTCTTGTCCAGTACGCAGCAGCAATATCTAACTAACATCATCTGCTTTTGCTGTTTTATTGGACTGGATACAGCACGATACGAGCTCCCAGATAGTGGGAAGGCACCTCCCAAGCCTCAGTCAAGGGGGACGGTGGCGCGGCAGCGGTCCATACAAGGCAGAAGAACCCCCGTCAAGTCTCTTGATGATCAAGAGACAACACCTTCACCGGCTTCAGCCGAACGCTCGTCCGATCCACCACCATCAGGTCGCCCTAAGCAAGATTTCCTCGATGTTGACCGTTTGCGTTTGATTTCGTCAGCTTCATCTCGCCCACTGAGCACGCGCCCACGCTCAAACCTTCCGGCTACGAGTGCCATACCCCGGTTGCCCCCATTTCGTGAAGATTCTGACGAGGTGGATGAGCCATGGATTCGTGTTGACAAGACTGCTGAGCTACAAAGACGTCTACTGGGCGGTAGCTCATTCCAGCCCGGAGATGGATTCAACGTGTTTATCGATGGTGGGCGGGGATTCTCGGATAGTGTTACCATTTCAAAGGTGACAGTTGCAGCTCTTCACGCAGATCGGACTCAAGTTGTCGCCGAGAATGCGAATGCGTTCGCCTCTACGGCTTTGGATGCGTTTGACCCGACATTTGATGCTGTACGTGGATGGTAGGGAAGCCTGGGCTGGAAGTTTGCGTGCGCTCACTGTTTTTCGTGTGCTTTCTGCTATAGTATGTGGAGTATCGACACAGCAACTTTAACCCTACGCTTACGCTGGTCATTCGCGTCGACACCATCGAGCTGGTCTCTAAGCGACCGGTGATCTTGGGGTACTCTGTGTTTCCTGTGTTTCTAGATGTCGAGACTCGAGATCAGCCCAACCGCCCGAGTATTCCTCAGTTCATTCTGAATGAAGGAGGGTTTCAGTTGCCGCTGCATTCCCAAGTCCAGTCTGCCGAGGCGAATCAACCGCTAAGTGCGAAGTCGTGTGACGTTTTCCCTCGGATACCATGTGCTACATTGTTGCTGCGGATCGTGAATGCAAAGCTGGTATGAAGGACTCGAGAAAAGTATTATACTGCTGGTCTGAAGCCTAATGATGTGTATATTGAATAGTCAGGAGACGGATTGGCGGTGCTTTCACGCAAAGACTTCCCACCGCACGAATGGGAAACCAAGGGCTTGCTGGTTCCAGCTCCTCTGTATTGCGATCAGTTTTACGATTCGCTGCGGTGCGTTCCTTCTGGCATCGAAGAGAAAATTTACTCGATTCGGGTGAGTTTTGATTCCTTTACGCAGTTCGTGGCGTAAACTCTCTAATGACTACCCCCCCGCAGCACAAGAACCGTAGGCCCAAGACTGTGTCTCAGTGTCTCCAGCAGATATCTCTCAGCACCAGTGAGGCTCGAGAAATGCTAAAGGTTCCAAAGTGTGCTTAATTAAGTGCTCGCTGTCGCATATTTTATCTAACTTCGTGCTGCTGTGCATCAGGTTAAACCTGCAGCCTATCTGGATCTCTCGTCAGCTCTGCGTTACGAGCCAGCCATCGGCTTCCGAGTTGCCGTGGACGCTCTACACAACGTCAAAGCAAAGGGAGGGCCGTTCTTCAAAGTTATCTTCTCGGTGTTTCCTCCAGGGTCGTTCTACCAAGCGATTCGGTTGACGGGGGATGTGTATTTCACTACAACCATGGGCTGGACGAGCGCGCAGACGTCCCCTGAGTTTGGTAACGGGTACATGGTAAGCCGCAATAAATTGCCCGCGCGATCCCATCTACGACGAGTCTAACGCACTGACCCCTGACAGACTTTGCGGGATTCGCCTAGCGACCAATTGCTCGCAGTACTCTTCGACGTCCGCAGCGTGACGCGGCACCCCAAAACAGGAGCACTAACCTCGCAGCAGTACGGGTGGACGTTCCTCCCGGTGCTCGCTCATTCGCGCTTCGTAAATGCGTGCACCATCCAGCTCCCGCTTTTCCAGGGTGAAGTCAATCTGGTACGGTCGATCCGATTGCCGCGTGCTTGACAACCAGAGACTAACCTACGCTGCTGTGGGCACCAACTACTCAGGGCGTCTTGAAGTCAGCAATTGGTGGACTGAGCACTTTGGTGGACGATATCGGCAATGAAAAGGTGAAGCAGTTGGTACCTGTGGCCGAGGACGGTGCATCGCTCTTTGTGCGAATCCAAGACCCTCAGGTGCCTCACTTGTCCTCGCAGCCGATCGTAAGTACTAGTCGACACTGCTATGACGACTGGGCTCTTTGCGGGAGCTAACGTGTATGGTGTGTGTCTACCAACGCAACAGGTCAATGCGAGTCTGTCCAAGATGGTTCCATCTCGATTAAGCGCAAAGTATGTCTACGACAGCACCAAAATCGCGGCGTCGAAGAAGAAGACCCCAGTGAGCAAGCTGCTGCCCACGAACACACCTGAAACCCAATTCGAGAAGGAGATGAACCAGGCCTTCGCCCAGGTAGGACTTCATCGGTAGCCCCCCCCCCGCACGAAGTACTGACAGCTCCCTGTGTTCTGATAGGAAATGGGCATTCATCACCTGCTCTTCTAGCAAACAAACCTGCCTCAACTCGGAAGCGTCGGGAGACTCTTCATTGCCTTTAACAGTTGAGAGAGGATGGATCGTGCCGACCTCAGCAGCACAGCAGCAGCGCTAAGAAGAAGAGCAGGAAGTCCAAGCCTCGCTTCCGTCTGCCCCGCCTTCGCCTCCGCCCCAAGAAGACGCCGCTGCAGCTCGAGGACTTTGACGACGTGCGCTACAAGATGGAGATCGTGCGACTGGGGGACGACGCCAGCGACTCGATCGACGAGCGCGTGCCGGTTCTGGAGTCGGTTTTCCTCGCCTTCCTGTGCCTCCTGCTGCTCGGGGGCTGCGTGGCCGTGGGCTTCGCGACGCACTTGATCGAGTACTCGCGCGAGGTGCTGAGTTGGCTGCTGCCGATGCTGCTGCTGCCGCTCGCGTGGGTGGTCGCGCTCGTTGTTTGGGAGCGCCGCGCTATCGCCATGCAGAGCAAGATCGCGACGCAGTAGCCAGGCTCGGTCAAGTAGTGTACCCCGAAGTCAAAAACCATGACAGCAATCGTAAAGGGAGTTCTCGTTCCGCCATCGCCATCGCGATGAGCGTGCTTGTTGGCAATACGTAGTTGCAAGCATCTTCAGACGAGTGCAAATAGGACAAGGTACTATGATACTATTTTCTTCTACTACTGAATTAGCGTTTTAAAGAGTGCAAATGTTGATATTTCCTTCCTCATATACAAAATGATACAGGGTAATACATAATAATATAACAATATAGTAGCAAATTGTATTGATATGATATCATTAGTTCTGGAATAGCAGTAACCCCGGAGGGAGTGCCCAACACAGATTCATGCTCTTTCGTAAGACGATACTGGTCCCTAGAGAACATACCGTAAGACAGCGTCTTACGTTTTGCAATTGTAACGGGGTTACATGGAATAGTGACCATGTCACTATTCCGAGATGACTACATCGGTCACTCCCCTGGATAGTGACCCAAGTGGCCTCAGAGCCAACAGATACATTTTGTATGACACAAACTATAGGGAACTTAGGATTTGTATGCAGGCCAAATCTGTACCAATCTATAAATACATTCAGTCTTAGATCTACCGCTTTTCAAGTCAAGTCGTCCCCTTCAGACCAGGGACACGTGAACGGCTGTTCACTTGGAGTTTGTATACTCCTGCTTCCTCTGTTAAGAAGTGCTGTGTGCCCCGTCACACGAGGGCTCATCGCCCACGTTCAAGGGCTGCAGGCCACTGCGGCCGCGCCGAAGCCGGTGCAACCGAAGCCCCTGCGGCTGAAGGTTCACCCCTTCGAAGGGAAGGAAGGAGAACACCTTCACTTCTGGGTTCGAGAGGTTGAGCTCGCGATGGACGCGGCTCTCGTCTCGGACGAGCGACTCCGTGTCGCCTTTGCGCTCTCCAACCTTAGTGGTCGCGCTAAGAGTTGGGCGTATACGCGCGAAGCGACGACGCCTGGATGCTTCGCATCATGGTCCCAGCTGTGCGAGCAGCTGCGGGCCGCGTTTCTTCCGGCGAACTACGAGTACCGCCAGCGTTCGCGCTTCCTCGCCTGCAAACAAGGAAGGCGCGAGTTGCATGAGTACATCCAGGAGATGCGAGTGCTCACTGCCTCTTTGGTGGGGAACCCCCTGCCTGAACACATCAAGGTGACCGTGTTCATGGACGGTCTGCGTGTCGGTCCTGCCCGCACGCAACTGTTCCGTGTGCAAGCAAACACTATGGAGGAGGCGATTCAGATCGCCCTCCAGGAGGAGTACAGCCACAAGCAGGCTCGTACCCCCGCCACGGTATGGCAGAGCAACCCTGCCTCTGGCGGTACGCCTAATGGTAACTCCGGCAATGGAGCGATCAACGGGCCGGTTCCCATGGATCTGGGCATGGCCGAGCAGAGCGACATTCGCTGCTACGGCTGTGGCAAGCTTGGGCACATGAAACGTGCTTGTCCCGCGGGAGGACTGAAGAAGAAGTTCTCTTCGAAGCCCTTTGGCTCTAGTGGTCGCTGGCAGAAACCGCGCCCCAGGAACCAGGGGATCGCCGGACACCAGTAGGGGCGGGGCGCCCTACTGGGGAAACACTAAGTCTTCATGAGGGGCGTGCGGGTGGCGCACACCATGGGGACTTAGCCCCTGAGAGTCTCTGTACTCTCGAAGCGGAGAAGGGCAGCGGTGGGCTGCTTGTGGTGCACGCGAGTGTACCGGGATACGATCATCCCTTGAGAATCTTGATCGACTCTGGGGCGTCCAAGAACTTTGCGCGCCGCCAGACTGTCGCCGCAATCGCGACAAGTACGCCGATGCGCTACGAGGCAGCAAAGGCAACGGGCTGGTCTCGGTAAGACTGGCCGACGGTACGGTGGTAGAAGTACCTCGGGTCCACATGGACCTCACTGTCAAGTTCGAGGACTTCGACAGCACGGAGCCGTTCTTGGTCCTAGACATGGACAAGTACGACTTGATCCTTGGCATGCCGTGGCTGGAGAAACACGAGCCTTGGATCGACTGGCGCGGCAAGGCCATCGGGGCCAGCCGTCCCCCACGCTCTGACAGAGCTTTGGTGAGTCATGTTCCCACCTCTGGCAGCAGCTGGGGCGCCCGCGAGGGCCGCCAGGGCGCAGCAGCGTCTAATGAGTTCTTGGGGTCCGTCGAGACTGACGACGACTCCGACCGGGCCAGACAAGGCCTGAGAGTGGAGGTGCCGGACAGCACCTACCAGGTGGGTAACGTAGGTCCACACGCGGGTAACGAAGTACCGCAGGCAGCAAGGGCTGCTGGAGAAGGCGCCGCTGGCGTTGGCGTGGGTAACCAAGTTCCACGCGAGGTCACTCAGACCGTAACTGATGAGGAAGGCACTGCAGGCGCTTCCGATGTGGGTAACATAGTTCCACAGGAGGTCACTCAGACCATAACTGATGCGGGAGTCGCTGGAAGCGCTCCTGGTGTGGGTAACCAAGTTCCACACGGCAAGGTGGGTAACATAGTTCCACCCAGCAAGGCGGGTAACCAAGTTCCGCTCAAGAACAAGGCGGGTAACCAAGTTCCGCTCAAGGACAAGGCGGGTAACGTAGTTCCGCACGAGATCGAGAAAATCGGTGGTGCCGTCAAGGCGGCGCCACGAGACGAAGACACCCGAGGGTCACGTCGTAAGCCGGGCCTAGTCGTGTGACCGACGACGCCAGTCGCCAGCGACTCCGAGCCTCCAGCCAAGGCTCCAGCCGCCGAAGAGTGTTATCACATCTTCGACGGCGTGACCGGTAGTCGGGTCAAGACAGGAGCTGTCGAGCTTACAGCTCTGCCCGAGGTTTCAGAGTTGCTGAACCTTGAGGAGCTCGCCATGGAGGACTTCTTGGCCGAGCTAAAGGCCGGGGAGATCGCAGAGTTGGTTCTCCTCCGACCGGAGTCCACGTCGGCCGAGTTGAACTCGTCCTCGGTCATGGACCAGACAGTCCTGGAGGAGTTCCAGCGACAGCTCGCGTCGCGCATGGGCTCTGAGATTCTTAAGAACCCCCGAGACCCGGTGTACCCCTTGGTGAAGGAGTTTGAGGACGTGGTGTCCAAGGATCCACCGTCCAATCTCCCTCCGGACAGGGGAATCAGGCACGAGATTGATCTCGTGCCGGGCACGAAGTACTGTGTCACGAGGCAATGACCTCTTCCCCGGGAGCAGTGTGAAGTCATTGATGCCTTCTTTGCCGCCAAGGCGAAGGCAGGCATGGTGCGGGAGTCGAAGTCCCCGCACTCGACGCCTACCTTCTGTGTTCGCAAACCGAACGGAAAGTGGCGTCTGGTTCATACTTATAACAAGCTGAACAGCGCGACAGTGCCTGCGCAGACACCGATCCCGCGCAAGGACGTGTTGCTCAACAACATGGCCGGGTGCACGCTGTATAGCGTGCTGGACCTGGTGGACGGATACTACCAGATCCTGATGCGCGAGAGCGACATCCCACTCACGGCTGTGAGCACGCCGAGCGGTATGCTCTGGGAGTGGCTGGTCATGCCTCAGGGGCTTTCGAACGCCCCGGCAACGTTCAATCGCTTGGTCACACAACTGTTCCGACCTTTGTGTGCGTTCACACAGACGTACTTTGACGACATCTTCGTCCACAGCCGTGCCGAGGCAGGCCAGACGGCCATGGAGGTGCATCTCCAGCACCTTCGACGTGTGTTCGAAGTCATGCGGGCGAACAAGCTGTACGCCAACATCGACAAGTGTGTGTTCGCAGCTGAGGAGATCAAGGTCCTGGGCTGCTTCGTCAGCAGCGCCGGGGTCCGGGCGGACCCGGAGAAGGTGGAAACCATCGCGGCTTGGCCGCCACCTCGGTCGCAGAAGGACCTACGACAGTGGTTGGGCCTCGCCAACTACCTGCACAAGTATAGTGTAGGCTACGCCGAGCTGGCACGGCCCTTGTCGGATCTCCTGAAGTAGGATGTCGACTGGCGCTGGGAGCGTCGCCATCAAGATGCTTTTAACGACATCAAAGCGAGCTTACAGCGCGCGCCAGTCCTGGCATTGCCGAACGAGACGAAGCCTTTCAGCGTAGTCTGTGATGCGTCTGACTACGCAATTGGCTGTGCGCTATTGCAGGCCGACGATGAAGGCCGCGAACTGGTCATCTCGTTCCAGTCCAGGCAGCTCAAGGCAGCCGGACGGAACTATCCAGTCCACGACAAGGAGCTACTTGCCATGAAGTACGCTCTTGTCAAGTTCCGAGTGCACCTCCTGGGCTCGACGCCCTTTGTCGTTTATACAGACCACGCGTCCTTGCGGACTGCCGTCAACACGCCGCATCTCTCACAGCGGATGGCGCGTTAGCTGTCATTCTTCGCGGAATACAACTTCCGTGTCGAGTACAAGCCGGGCAAGTTGAACGTGCTTGCCGACGCGCTGTCGCGCCGACCCGACTACGAGCTTGCTCATATTAGTCGGGTCACGACGGATCTGTGTGATCGCATCAGGCTGGGGTACCGAGACGATGCCAGTCTCGGACCTCTTGTGCGGTTCTTGGCCGCTGGCTCGGAAGCCAAGGCCGAGTGGCTCACGCCCCGACAACGTGCAAGGCTGCATCGCTATGAGTGGGCTGACGGTTTGCTCCACTATAGGGTCGAGCCCGAGGATCCTCCCCGTATTGTCGTGCCCAACGACGAGGATCTCAAGTACGACATCCTGATGGAGGCGCACGACGCTCCATCCAGTGGCCATCTCGGCCGTGAGAAGACGTACGCGTCTGTCTCGCAGATGTTTTGGTGGCGTCACATGTACAAGTGGGTCGCCACCTACGTCAGTACGAGCGAGACGTGCCAGCGCGTGAAGCCTGCCAGTCACGCCTCGGCACCATTGCAGAGCCTGCCGGTCCCAGCGGACTGCTGGAAGTCGATGAGTCTTTACTTTGTCTTCGGACTTCCGGCCGATGACCGTGGCAACACTGGTGTTGTTGCCTTCGTGTGCCGTCTGAGCAAGATGGTCCACTTTGCTCCAGTT